TGAGAAGCTTGGAACACAAAACCCTTAAGGAACTGCTTTTGACTCCAATGTGGCAAAATTTAACATGTGACAATTTCAGAAACAAGAATTTGTGATGAGCATGTGAATTCTTTTACCTCCCACTACCAGTAGGAGGCATCGAAAATCCCTTACTAAAATTATTCTGTGGTTAATTTTTCCTACGCGCTATGTCTCATTCATTGAACATTTAACATCAAGAAAAACAGATACTGAACTAAAACTGCATTGTGTGCTGTGCTGTGGGTAACTTATGAGATCATCTGTATTTCTTTCAGACCAGCGAAGTCACTACCACGTGCCGCCACACGCATCTCCCTGGGCTACAAGACTAGCACAACAACATTGCCAATTTGTCTGGTCAGGAAACTTTGAAAAGTTTGAAAGCTTGGGGATTTCGGTAGCTCGTGATTTTGCAGATGCAGCTCTGTAAACTCCAAATTTTTTTGTAGGTGCTTTTATAACAGTAATGCCAACTACCCTCTTTTAGTCAAACTCCTGCAGAATTCCAGGGTTTGACCACAATCACGCTGAGGCTCAGGGTTTAAGAATGATTAATCACAGACGAATTAGCCTTTTGTTTCTTTTCTGACATTTCCAACCCTTTCTGCTGTTTCAACTATCTGATGTCTGGCCACGTCACGATAGCAAAGCCAACTCCTTGAAATCACTGTTGACTTTGGCCTGCTTGCAGGTTTGGATAAAGAATTCAGTCAAAACACCTCCACCAGATCACGGAGTGACCTTACAGCAGCACTCTTAAAATTTCATGAAGAAATTTTAAGTTATACCTAACACCATTTCTGTAGACGCCATTTTCACTTTCAAAGGAAATAGTATTCTATTTACGTGCAAATATTAAACATTTTGAAAGCATAAAAAATTAATTAAAAAAAGGTCTAGAAAACTACCAAGTCAATTTTTTAAAGTATATATAATAATAATATATAAACTGCATAACACCTGTAAGCTACATAATATGGATATAAAATAAATATAAACCAACAGATCAGTTAAAAAAAATATACTGGTTATTAGGCAGAATGACAAAAAAAAAAAAAAAAACACCTGGTCAGGTGTCCACCCTCTGCAGCGTCATGTGCAGCAGGGAGCACTGCTCCAGCATAAATGGGAGCTGTCCTGGGATAATTCCATCCCCCTTGCAAGTGACTGGCTCAGGCGTAGACAAGAGGCGCAACTCTGATGAATGAAACGAGTGATGGGGACAGGAGACTTCTTGATAAGCTTTTCCTTGATCTTAAAAAGAGATACAGACCACTTCACACACATTAGAATAACTACTGTCAAAATAAACAAAACCAGAAAACACAGTGTTGGCGAGGATGTGGGGAAATGAGAACCCATGTGTACTGCTGGTGGGAATGTAAAACAGAGCCCCTACAGAAAACAGTATAGCGGTTCCCAAACAATTAAAAATAAAATTATCACATGATTCAGCAATTGTACTTCCGAGTATACAGACAAAAGAATTGAAAACAGGGGCCTGAACAGATATTTGTACACCCGTGATTACAGCAGCACTATTCACAACAGCCAAAAGGTGGGAGCGACCGAAGTGTCCACTAACGGCTGAATGCATAAACAAAATGGGGCACATTCAGAGAATATCATTCAGCCTTTAAAAAGGGAAATTCTGACATCTGCTACAACATGGATGGATCCTGCGGACATGACGCTAAGTGAAAAAACCCAGTGACAAAAAGATACTGTATGGTTCCACTTATATGAGCCACCTGGCGAAGTCACAGTCGCAGAGACAGCAAGTAGAATGGCGGCTGCCAGGGTGGGTATGAGGAGCTACTATGTACTGGGGAGAGGTCCAGTTTTGCAAGATGAAAAGTTTTGGAAATGAATTAATACCTAGGAACGGTACACATAAAATGGTTAAGATGGCAAATTTTATGTGCATTTTACCACAATTAAGAATAATTTAAAAAAGAAAGAGACACAGGAGAGGACATTATTTCCTGATTCTAGCCACTACCGATGGCCTGAACGGGCAGCGACCACCTTGGAACTGTGAGGGGAGCAGAGCAAGAACATGGGCGTCAATGAGGACGGCTGCCAAAGAACTGCCCATCCCACCTATAACTCCCCTGCAAGGGGAAATTCTTCCAAGTTAACAGCATAATTTCCATTCATTTCAGCCAGCTCCTGAGTTCCCATACTGACAAGTGATTTATGCTAAAACAGCACCAAGTCCCATCGAATGGCCACAATTATTGTAACACTTAATGTGAGCAATGATAACAACGTATTGAGACAATTTCCTTTCATTAATGACTCTCTTTTCCAGCTCTCATTACACTCTTCTGTGACTTTCCCGTGTCTTACAGCAAAGACTATAAAACATATCTGACGATGTAATGTGAATGTAAATCAACCTTTATTTAACACAGACGTACCCATGCAGCAGCAAAACCAAAAGAATTCAGTGAAAATGCATTTTAGGAACCACGAAGCACAAGGCTATAACTGCTCTAAACCAGCACACCCTGCGCGCTGAGAAGCGAGCTAACTGCACCGCACACCAGCTTGGACTAAGACAGCCACACGGCAATTTTCATCTTGCAGTGCTCACCATCAGCAAGACAAGCAAAAATCAAAATTTGTCACCATGTTAGGAAATGTCTTGTAGGCTCTAGTGAGGGTATAAAATGCCTATAAGGACGAATTCTCACAAGCCAAGTGGGCACATCTCTAGGCATACAGAAATCAGGCGACTGCCAAAATTCTCTCATGTTGAGCCATCGGACACGTCTCAGCTCAGCTCAGCTCAATTCAAGACATGAGTCTGCACAGCTTAACACAGAATGGCTTCCCTGTACACAGAAATCTATATCTGTACCCAGTGAATTCTCTCCTACACCACGTGTTTCGGTCATCCACCGCTGAGTAACAAACCACCCCCAAAATTAGTGGTTTAAAACAACTAATTAAAACAATAATTATAATTCCTCGTGATTCTGTGAGTTGGCTACAGCCCAAGATGGCTGCAGGCCTCCCAGGTGGCCTCCTCTCCAGCAGGGGGCCTGGGCCTTTCACATGATGGCTGGCTCCAAAGACAGAGCAAGAGAAAGCTGCCAGCCCTCTTAAGGCCTGGGCCTGAAGTCCACGGCATCCTACTAGTCAGTCAAGTCACAAGGCCAGTCCAACCCGGGGCGAGGGAAAGAATCTAGCTCTGGAGGAGGGGACAGCGTGCACATACAGGGTCAGAGCAACTGAGGATGGCCACCTCTGGAAATCGTCCTCCCTGCACATAAAGACGGACTCGTCATTTCAGCATGCCTTTACGACAGCTCATTACAGTAAAAGAGGAGGTAAAACCAGCTCTTATGTGTCTCTCAGACCTGCTGTTAAATACTTCAATTTGCTCTACATCATACAATGAATATATTTTATTATGAAGGTTGTAACATTAACGTGTCTAAATCTACACAAGAAGTCCAAATGAAACAGCACCCTAGTTCCAGACAGTTAAGTATCACTGGGTGCATCACAACTACCTACACAGACCCGAGACTGTGCCCTCCCCATCAGGGCAGAGCCCACAAGTGCAGTGCTTACGAAAGCACCCCGTCAAGTGTGACTGCTCCTTCTCAGGTATTAAAAGTGCTGCTATTTTAAAATACATTCCTTTTTCCCTTAATACCAGATAGAAAACATTTTTGTAGATTTTCCCATGTAGATTTTGAAGTGTGGAAAAAATATGACATTATTAATGCTTTAAATAATTATGCTCTAAAGAAAAATTTTAACTATTCTCATAGTTACCCTCATTCAATTCTAAAAGTGAGAGATTTTACAGTAGTGTGCAATTCCTCTTCTGTGAGTTACCCTCTTGCTGGTCCCCAGTTCTACAAATTTTCAGAATTGTCTCTCCCAAGAAAATATAATATGAATATAATATATTGGAAAAATTTTTAGTTTTGTTCGAATGGTTACATCAAGTCCCCTCCCTTCCTACTCTGGGCTGTAACCTAATTTTGTAGGTTTCAATAGTGTTTCCCAATTCCCGACAAAGATTAATTTTCAGGATATGGAAATAAGAAACTGGGATTTCTGAAATCTTAAGTTATTCTTAAAATACTTTCAATATTCTTTATACTCTCTATTCATTAATATGAATCATCTTAAAAATTGGTCAATAAGACAGAGATATCAAGTTTAGTATTAAAAAGAATTTCAGCCTATAGAGAATATTAAAACACTGGAAAAAGCCAGCAAACATTACTAGATACCATTTCCAACGATCTAACATTGGACTACACTATACAAAATCTTAAGTTAAAATTAATAATTTATAAACTTATTTTGTTTCCGAAACTTCTTAGAATACCACTCATATACTCTGTATATAAACTGATTGCTATTTATATTTACATTGTTATTCACATTATTAATCACAGACACACTCAATATACATGACTACGCACTCAATAAACTCAATAAACATGACTCGATAAACATGACTACAGCTACACACAAGCCAACTGATTAGACTGTGACTCTACACTCCTGTCTTCTTCCTACAAATGTCAACTTTCTCCTTGTTTTCGACTTTATGTTGGGTCCCTTCAAACCAGCAACACTTCTTCTATGTTGATTATTCAGCTTTAATTCTTGTGGGAGAATTATAACACTTTCCTCTAATTTCCTGACTTCTGAATTGATTTTCCTCAGGAGTCCCTTAAAAAAACATGTACATTTACCCAGAATAGCTGGGATTTCTAGATATTTGGTTGATTACTGTAGATTAACCTGTACTAAACAAATATTAAGTGTCAGGCACTATTCAAGGCAATGAACAAGCCAGAGTCTATGAAAAGTTTAAGACACATTTAAAAATAATGCATGATTTACATTAGAAATGTATAAGTTAAATTAATATAAGAAATTATGAAGGCACTAATTTTCATAACTTGAATCTACAGCAGACACATATACAAAATCGACTTTACCTTGTATTTCATCTTGGGACATGAATGAATGTAGAAACCCATATAGTAATAGCTGAGTTGAGATGTTTTTTCATGAAGTTGCCTAGTGAAAGCAATTTCTCTGCCAAAAGAAGAATAAAGATGAAGATACAGTTAAATCTAGTTCAATTTTCAAATTACTATGTAATGATGACAAGTATTTGATAAAATTTGATACTAAGCTATCAAAAAAAATCCAAGTGTTGAAAGAAAAACTGTTTTAAAAATACTGTAAAGTGATTTTTATTAAAAAGACCAAAAAAAAGCATCTGAGTTCAGGTTTTACACTTTCTTGGGCATAGTAGTTGATCTAAAAATTCAAAGAGCATAAAATTAAAGAGATCTATTTAATATGGTTTCTTGTTATTATTCATTAATCAGATCAGGGAACGTAACCAAAAACTTTACCCTCACACTGGGACCTACAAGCCCGGCTCCATCTGCCCCCTAACCAACACCACACAGTCCCTGCGTGACACAGTCCACATCTGACCTCAAGTCCTAGCCTCTAAGGCCTTTCTTTTTATTCCAACAACCTCAGGGCACGTGGACTAGCTCCCCTGCACCTAGATTTCTACCTTCGGATTTTTATGTAGTTGGTTCCTTTTCTTCTTTCTTGGCTCCTCAAATGTCACCTATTCATAGAGGGCCTCATGCCTACCATGATTTTATTTTTGTCACAGCACATCAGAGTAGCTAAAATTATGTTGTCGGTTTTTCTAATTTACCTAGTCTGTTTTGACAAAGCTAAAAACCACGTCTGTCGTATTCACTTCTGTGAATGGTGCCAGGACACACAGATTGGGCTCAAGTAAACCTCTGCTAAATAAATTAATTACATTTCTAAAAGTTCGTCCTTCTAAAAAAATAGGAAAAAGAAATGCCATGCTCGAGATCTTCAACTCAAACCTTTTTTAAATCTGCAGACTAGATTCCATTAAAGTCTACATTTATTAGATGACAGCTTAAGAAACTGAAGAAATGGAGGGGAAACGACATTAAAATCCGTAATGGAACTGGCTGCTTGTAACCTTCTCTCCCAATTTTGCTCTGAGATGCTGATCTCCTGGCTGCCTGGCCTCTCTGCAATGCGCAGTCTCAAGGACACTAAGAGGAAGCAACGAGGCTGCAGTGCGGTGGCACCCGGCCCCCTCCTTCGTGCTCGCTGGCTCCTCTGCTACTTCCCCAAAGCTCTCCGGCTCCAGAAGTTTCAAGAGATAAACCAAACGATAAACAGAACTCTTTCTAATTTTGTTGGGAAGTGATTATTTACTATCTCAAATGCAGTAGGATTTCTATATTTCTTAGTTATTGAGACACGAAATGATATTGCATACATAGGATGGGATTTATTATGTAGGAATAAATATCACTTAATATTTATCTGAGGAGTCTACACAAATCCATAGCTACACACTGTAAAGTGAAAGATACAAAATTAAAACATGAAAATGGCAATCATTTCCAAGTATTAACTGATTATAGTACAAAGAAAGAGTACCTTTTCTAAAATAAATAGAAAACACTCTAGAGTTATAAAATGTGAATGCTTCGAATCATCACTTCCACTTTCAGTAATACCATCAAGAGTCATGAATATTTTTAGTTCTATACAGAAATGCAATGAAATACATAAGAAAAATAAAAGACTGATTGACAGAGATCAGCTGTGGACATTGTATAACTGTGAATTTGCTATAACTTGGCATTAAGAGACAGACTGAGTTGAAAATACCAAGATGGAGAATTTCTTTATATTGTGGGTCATTGAAACACACAAAAAGAATCAATTATGGACCAGATTTTATAAAAGTTGAATGGGGATTAAAGAATATCAACTCTTCTACTTTCATAATTCAAAAAAGCACATACACAATAGAAAATATAATCTTCAAGTATTTTTTTACCATGATGTGAAAACATCACGCAGAGAGACTGCGAAAAGTAAAGAGGAAAAAAAAACGACACGATGATAAAGGGGGAGAAAAAGAGAGACCTGACCTCCCAGACAACAGAAAAAGTATGCTCAATGCTCCCCCTCCGCCTCATCACATATACACACATGTAAGCAGGAAAACAAAGAGAATCAAATGTTTTCATGGAGTAAGACCCCATCCCTTTACCAGTAGGATAATCTAAAAGCATTTTTGCTGTGTTGCATATATTTGCAGCCATAAACAGAAAAGGGAAATCATCCTTTGATGAGGGTCCGAGTCAAGCAGAGTCAGGGACCTCCTGGTTCTGTTCTACATGCTGTATATAACTGCATCTTTCCAACAGGCTCACACTGCTCTAATTCATTTATACCTGATTCATTTAACCTTTATAAAAAATATACATACAACGTTGACCAAAAAAATATAAACAATATAACATTTAAGGAACATTAAGTGGTTCTGACAAGGGAGCTTAAATAAATGCATGAGGTAAACAATTAAAACATCCCACACAGAGCAATCACTTCTCCAATACATTAGACTTAGACACATACCTTAAAAAAGCTAAAGAATTACCATCAGACATTGGCCTCAAGTCTAAAAGTGGTTATTTACAAATGCTAAATTATAAGACTACTAAAATAGCAACAAATCATTATGTACTATGGAATAGGACTTCCACTGTTATATAATGAAACATAATCAAATGAGGAATTACTGGAAATTCTATGTGACCCATTACAACTGTCGAAAGCAATCTTACCGTAGTGCAGAGTAGACACCCAAAGACAAAAATGAATAATCAGGATCGTAGTACAAATATACAGACGATACACAGTATGGAAGGATGTCAATCACCCCTACAGCAATGATCTTCCCATCGAGCCAATACTGCTGGTGAAAGGAGCCATAACCACAAGCTGGTCCATTAGGAGGATTCTCTGCCTATGAAAAAGTGGGCACACAAACACGAACAGTTTGTCATTTTTCTCTTTTATTAAAAAATCTTAATAATTAATCTATTATACTTTTATTTTACTCAGGTTAGCAAGTCCTAAAATTTCCTCCTTGTTGTCATCATCTTCTGTAGCCACACCCTACAAAACTTTTTACTTGCAGAAACACTGACCAAACAAAAGAATGAAAAAGAGAAATCAACTGAAGTTTTCAACTTGTTTTAAAATCTGCCAGTAGGCACTATAAAGCTTACAGGATAAGTAAATATTAAACTATATATTTTGTGTTCCACACAAATGCTGGGAAAGAAATGGTGTATGAGAAAAGATGGAGAATGTAAAAGGAAAGGATTCGGTGAGAACAGAACTGTCCCCACACTGTCAGCCAGGCCTGCTTTGCGACCACCCCCGCACTGATAAGGGATCTGATCCCATCATTTTTTCTAGATAAGAGTTCCTTTTTTCCTAGCCAAAGGAAAAAAGTTATTTCCTTATCATTATCTTTATATAATGACAATCTCACAGAAGATATTTAGAGATTTCAAAGTATAACCAATTTTTGGTGAACAGTTAAGTGGTATTTCTCATTTTAAAGTGTAATATGATTTTAAGTGTAACTTACTGAATGAAAACTATGAAGCAGCATAAAACACCCATCTCAAAGGATGTTAGAGATTAACATTTTAAGTGAATACAACAAAACATGCATCATTTTCACATAGTTAAAATCTCAGAGAATGTACATGGACAAAATCTGGGGAGAATAAAGAAAATGAAAAAAAAGTAGGTCTGCTAATACCAGAACCAGAAAAAAAAAATTACAAGGTAGAGAATCCACAGAACAATAGAGAATCCACAGAACAATATCTGCCATGAACAAATATACAAAAATATTCACTGAAATATTAGCAAATAAAATCCAACAACGTATAAATAGTATATATGCCATAATGAAGTGGAATTTATTCCAGGTATGCAAGGCTAGTTCAACATTAGAAAGGCAATTTTAAAAAAAAGCTATTAATGTATACCACCATGACAGTAGGCTAAAAGAAAAATCACATGATCATATTAATTGATGCAGAAAATACATTTGACAAAATCCAACACCCATTCATGACTAAAAACTCTCAACAAACTTGGAACAGAGGGAAACTTCCATCAACATGATAAAGAATACACACAAAAATTCTACAACATTACACTTAATAGAAGAATCTGGATGCTTTCTCTCCTAAGATCAGGAGCAAGGCAATGATAGATACCCTCTCTTATCACTCCTATTAAACATCATCTTGGACCTTCTACCTAGTGTAAATAAGGTAAGAAAAGGAACTTAAAGGTATACATACACATTAAGAAAGAAAAAAATAAAACTGTCTGTTCAAAAATGACATGACTTACTACGTAGAAAATCCCAAAGAAACAACACAAAAAAATTGGAAGTAATAAGCAATTATAGCAAGGTCACAGGCTATAAGGTTAATAAATAAAAGTCAATCGCTTTCCTATATAACCAGCAATGACTGGAATTTGAAATTAAAAACACGATACCATTTATAAAACCACCAACAAAATTACATACCTAAGTATAAATCTAACAAAACTAGTACAGAATCTATACAAAGAAAACCACGAAATTCTGACAAAAGGAATCAAAGATGTAAATAAATGGGAAAATATTACATGTGCATAGAAGACTCATTCTTCCCAAATTGATCTACAGATTTAATGCAACCTCACTCAAAATCAAACCAAACTATTTTGTGGACATACAAAATTGATTCTAATGCTTATATGGAAAGGTGAAAGACCCAGAATAGCCAACATAGTATCGAAGAACAACAAAACTAGACGACTGATACTGCCCAACATCGATGCTTACTACACGGCTACGATAATCAAAGTAGTGGGATACCCGTGAAAGAACAGACAGAGCACTGGAACAGAATAAAGCGCCCAGAGAGGGGTCCACAGAAACGCAGTCAGCTGACCTTTGACAAAGGAGCAAAGACAATTCTATAGACAAAGTGGCAGACTTTACAACAAATGATGCTATAACAACTGGACAGCCAAATGCAAAAAAAAGCAAAATCTAGACAAAGACCCTGTATCTTGCAATAAAAATTAACTCAAAATAGATCATAGGCCTAAATATAAAAGGCAAAGCTATAAAACTTCTAGTTGATAGCATAGGAGAAAATCTAAGTGACCTTGGGTTTGGGGATGACTTTAGATACAACACCAAGAGCTCAATCCATGAAGGAAATAAGTAAGCTAGACTTCATTAAAATGAGAAGCTTCCGCTCTGTGAAACACACTGTTAAAAGAATAAAAAATCAAGCCGCTGACTGGGGAAAATCTTGCAAAATACATACCTGATAAAGGCCAATATGCAAAAATACAAAGACTCTTAAAATTCAACAATAAGAAAACAAACAACCCAATTTTAAAAAGGGCGAAATATCTGAGCAGGCATCTCAGCAAAGAAGATGTGCATATGAAAAGCTGCTCAGCATCACCTGCTGGCAGGGAACTGAAAGGAAGGAAATAACGAGGAAGCATCGAAACTATGGGAATGGCCGAGATGCAAAACCCCGAAGAGCAAATGCTGGCAAGGACGGGAGCAGGAGGCACCCTCGTTCCCTGATGGTGGAAATGTACAACGATATGGACTCTTTAGAGGACAGTTTGGGAGTTTCTCACAAAGCTAAACATAGCCTTTAGCTACAAAACAGCCATCAGCCGCTTTTTTCAAGAATTTATCCAATTAGTTTGAAAACTTAGGTCACACAAAAACCCAAAGGCCTGCATGAAATGTTTATAATAGTTTTATTCATAACTGACAAAAACTAGAAGCAACCAAGATATTCTTTTATAGGTAATAAACAAATTGTGATACATCCATACAATGGAATATTATTCATTAATAAAAAATAATCTAGCAAGCCACACATGCACACACAATGGAGAAACCTTAAATGCATATTGCTGAGAGAAGAGTCAGTTTGAAAATGCTACATACATACTGTATGATTTCAATTACAGTAAATGAATTTTAATTCTGTAAAAGGCAAAACTAGAGAAACAGTAAAAAGATGAGTGGCTGCCAAGAATTTGAAGGGATCAAGGAAGGGATGAAGAGATGAAGCACAGAGGACTTTTAGAGTGAAACTTTTCTGTATAATACCATAGACATGCATTTGTCAAAACTCAGAACTTTATAACACGGGAGTGAACCTTAATGTATGCAAATTAAAAGAAAATCATTTAGGAAGTTATGGGATCCCAGAAAGGAATGCAGACGGTGACAAGGGAATGTGAGTTACAAATGTACAAAACAACCTCACTGGAAAAGGCTGGGAGGAGGACACGTGCTGACCTAAGTGATCTTTGGGGTCTGTAAGAATGACGGCAACAGGAAATCTGTCTGTACGTAAGTGCTACAGGCTACCTGACCAGCTGCTCCCCACAAGCACTACAGGTTGACAGCCCTGGTACCGATATAGGTGTATACTGGAACTGAACAACTAGGTCAGTGGATGGAGGATGATAGGAGCCAGATTTCTCACTGCTAGAGCGGGAACTGACAGATAAAAAGGGGAAGAGGCTACATAATGGATTAGAACTGGAGACTTGAGTAAGAACTCACGTTCGGCTTAATACAGACACAGACAGTTACACACAGAAATATTTATGGGTATGTATATACCATACGTTATATTCACACGAGGGTCAGTATACATACACATTTCTTTGTTCTGTCAGATGAGACGGCCTAAAATATGTGACACCCCAGTAGCAGTCAGCACACCTAGCACCATACCTTAGTTTCTCCATTCTGCAATAAAAGGAACAAGGGCTCTTTAGAGAAATGGCTGATTCCAGGACTAGAGCAGGAAATATGTAAGACAAGCCTGAAGTATCCTGTAGTGCCCGAAAGTAAGAAAGTACTCGAAAAACAAACCCACATTGATGGGTGTATCGAAGGGGCGCAGGAGTCAAGTGAAAGCACTCCCGAGGGCCAAAGGCAAAATAATTTGGGCAACAAAATAAAGTAGCATTGGGTTATAACCCAAAGTATAAAATAAAGATTCAAGTCCATATTGATATATATGATTGAATAAATTAATAAATGAAGAAGACAATTCTCCTATGCACAAGAACTTCAAAAGTTTATGTATATACTCTACCCTAACGACAGGGGAGCATAACTCCCTACCACATAAGTGTGGGCTGCACACAGTGACTGCCTTCCAAAGAGTACTGTATGGGAAGAAAAAAGAGTAACCGTACCGGCGACCAAAGTCAACAACAAAAACTAAGAGAGGATTTACTAAGGCGATAGCAGTATCAATGATTTCTAAACCTTCCATCGCTGTAGTTCTGCCAATAAATACATCTTTAAACTTTTAAGAGCTTCCATCAACTGTAATAATAAATTATGCCAAATCCAGGTTTTAGCATTCGCTGTCACATATAGCTTTGCTCTTTTAAAAAGGTCATTATCGCTTCTCTAGAAACAGATATAGTTTGAAGAGTACAACAGGTAAACGAACAGAAGCATTAACGAAAAAGAAATAGGAAAGGATGTTAACTTGTTATAGTTACAACACCTGAATTGACACCAGTACTCTAAATAGCTAATAGCCTTGAAGCATAATCACCTGTCTCAGAAACTATGTTCTACCTATGTAATAAGAAACAAATGCCTATATATTATGGAATTTTATGAAAACCATCTTTAAATGTAAGCCCACAGGCTCATAGGAATGCAGCTCCCTGTCTTTAAAAATAATTGTGCAGGAGGACAACCACTGCGGTGACATGGAGACAGGGATAAGCTGGGAGTTCATGACACGTAAGGTGGGAGCCTGTCAAATGTCGGAAAACCTCCAAGTCGAAAGCTAATTAGATGACTCTGAAATGAATCTAAATTCTTCCATGATTTCGGTTCAGTACATCATCCTAGGTCATTAAATCTAAAAT